TGCCTGAAACTTCCAAGTATTTCGATTTTTAAATTTTGGATGTTACTAATATGGGAATTTCTAGATAACGTAATTTCTCCAATAGAAGCCCACATCTATTTGATGCCCACCTCTGATAAAACAGACGTACTTTTTTTACATCTTTTCTGATAATTTCTGTTAAGTCTTGTCGCTTTTTTGAGAAAAAAGATATCCGATTTTCTGAATTTCCGAGTTTCTACATGGCAGGATACATGTTTTTTTTTCTAAAGTCTCGAATTTCTAACCTAAAATCCTTAATTGTCGAATTTCTGCATTTCCGAGTTTTTTAAATACTCGGCTTTTCCGAATTCCTGAACTTTTGAATTACCCACATACATCAATATTTCTAAGCCTTTGGTTCGAGATCACAATGAAAGTATAGAGAAAATGTTGCAATATTTTTGTAGAGAAAGCTAAAATTTGAGAAAGTTCGAGACCCTCCTGGAATTTTTTGGAATATTCTTGAACTTTTCTAGAGCTTTCATGAATGTTTTGGGTCTTTTGGAGTTTTCTGGAATATTCTCGAAATTTCTGGCATTTTCTAGCCCTTTTTGAAATTTTCTAGAGTTTTCTGGATCTTTCTAGAACTTTTAGTATTTTCTAGAATGTTCTGGAATTATCTGGAATGTTCTCGAACTTTCTGAAATTTTCTGGAACTTTCTGGAATTTTCTAGCATGTTCTAGAATGTTCTGGAAATTCCTAGAATGTCCTGGAACTTTCTAGAACGTTGTGGAACTTTCTGGAATTTTCTAGAATATTCCGGAGTTTTCTAGAGTCTTCTGCAATTACCTAGAATGTTCTGAAATTTTCTTGAATTTTTTGTAATTTTTTGAAATTTTCTAGAATGTTCTCATTTGTTCTGGAACTTTCTAGAATGTTCTAAATTGTTCTGGAAATTCCTAGAAAGTTCTAGAACTTTCTAGAATGTTCTGAAACTTTCTGGAATTTCCTAGAAGTTTTTGGAATTTTCTAGAATGCTCTGGAATTTTTAGAATGTTCTAAAACGTTCTGGAACTTTCTGAAATTTTCTAGAGTGTTCAGGAACTTTCTAGAATGTTCTGGAATTTTCTAGCATGTTCTAGAATGTTCTGGACCTTTCTGGAATTTTCTGAAACTTTCTGGAATTTTCTAGCATGTTCTAGAATGTTCTAATTGTTCTGGAGATTCCTAGAATGTTCTGAAACTTTCTTGAATTTTTTGTAATTTTTTGAAAATTTCTAGAATTTTCTGAAATTTTCTAGAATGTTCTAGAATGTTCTAAAATAATCTGGAAATTCCTAGAAAGTTCTAGAACTTTCTAGAATGTTCTGAAACTTTCTGGAATTTTCTAGAAGTTTTTGGAATTTATAGAATGCTCTGGAATTTTCTAGAATGTTCTGGAATTTTCGAGAATGTTCTGGGATTTTCTAGAAAGTTCTGGAATTTTCTAGAATGTTCTGGAATTTTCTAGAATGTTTTGGAATTTTCTAGAAAGTTCTGGAATTTTCTAGCATGTTCTAGAATGTTCTAAATTGTTCTGGAGATTCCTAGAATGTTCTGAAACTTTCTTGAATTTTTTGTAATTTTTTGAAAATTTCTAAAATTTTCTGAAATTTTCTAGAATGTTCTAGAATGTTCTAAAATAATCTGGAAATTCCTAGAATGTTCTAGAACTTTCTAGAATGTTCTGAAACTTTCTGGAATTTTCTAGAATTTCCTAGAATTTTCTAGAATGTTCTGGAATTTTCTAGAATGTTTTGGAATTTTCTATAATGTTCTGGAATTTTCTAGAATTTCCTAGAATTTTCTAGAATGTTCTGGAATTTTCTAGAATGTTCTGGAATTTTCTAGAATTTCCTAGAATTTTCTAGAATGTTCTGGAATTTTCTAGAAGTTTTTGGAATTTTCTAGAATGTTCTGGAATTTTCTAGAATTTCCTAGAATTTTCTAGAATGTTCTGGAAGTTTCTAGAATGTTCTGGAATTTTCTAGAATTTCCTAGAATTTTCTAGAATGTTCTGGAAGTTTCTAGAATGTTCTGGAATTTTCTAGAATTTTCTGGAATTTACTGGAATTTTCTAGAATTTTCTGGATCTTTCTGGAAGTTTCTGCAATTTTCTGGAATGATGTAGAGCTTTCGAGAGTATTCTAAACTGTCCTGGAATTCTCTAGAATGTTTTGCAGTCGAAAAAAACACGGCAACCAAATTTACAGTAGGTTACAGAATTTGAGTTAATCACGAAAAAAATGTTACAAAAAATTTCTGTTGCGAAGCTTTCAGCTCAATTTTTTGTAGGCAGCACATAGATAAGTCTAAAAACTGTTTTGTAAAATTCCCTGAAGTTTTAGTGAGTTTCAACATAATTTTGAAATTTTCGATTCTCAACCCTGTAGGTTCCCGATTAGCTAGAAGGCCCAGGACACCATAGACATGAAGCGCTCGGCAGTCCATGACTACATACCACACACCACTATAGGAGTCCCACGCGCCTTTGAGTTATTCAAGTTAATGTCCGAGACGGACACACACACACACACACACACACACACACACACACACACACACACACACACACACACACACACACACACACACACACACACAGAAAATTTTCTTTAGTAAGAAGTAGATATGTAACATGGAAACCATAGTGGTGATACCATATTTACCATGGCAACCATAATAATGATTCCATATGCTCCATAGGTACCATGGGTATTATAATCCGCGTAGGTGCCTCGAGTACCATAAGTAGTGGGGTACCATATGGCTTTCGTATAATTCAAAGGCGCCATGATACCATAAGCAGAATGAGTATTGGGGTACCATATGTACAATGGCTACTATGGTACCTTGATCTATAGGCACCATGGGTAGTATTTTTCATATATTCCAGAGGTACCATATTTACTATGGATACCACGGCAATGGTACCATATATTTTTTAAATAACCAAATTTTTCAGTCATGAAGTGAAATTCTTCGAATCCGACGACGCTCCACGGACTGCATGGGTATGACAGTACCCCATATCATATCATAAACCCCATTTCCAGATCGACTACAACGGAACAGTTGGCTTCTACACATCTACAGTATCCTCTGTTATTTGTCAACTGGACGTAAGTGGCGACAGTTTGCTTTTACAGTAGCCCTCTGATCTGCAGGTCTTCAAATTCCCAATGGACCAACACGAATGTGGAGTTACCGTACTATTCCATAACTATTTCAATGATGAGTATAAGATTCATGGGGAGATGGAAGCAATGGCAAAACCAATGTCTCAGTTGGGAAATGGAGAATGGAAAGTGACATATGTCGGTGTAGCTGAACAGGATTCATTGAATCCGAGCTTGAGTTCAATTCAAAGATTCGTGGCTCGCATAGAGAGAAATCCAGGTTTCTACGTGTCTCTGGTGATGGTGCCAGCCTATTTTATCAACTTGTTAACTATAATTGCACTTTTTATGGATATCGAGAATGTTGGAGAGAAGGTACATATGAAGGCCTCGAAAAAGCTATGTAGGTCATGAAAATGCGTACTTCAGATCTCAGTGGGTCTTACCAACATTATGGCAATGACTTTTATATTGGTTATTCTGGCTGCCGACCTTCCGAAAACTGCAAGGATTCTATTGTTAGGTAATTTTTGATACAAGCAATTTTTACTCTACATTTTGCGACAAAAATCGAACTCCTATCATAATTTTGAAGCGAGTCATAGCCGAAGACGCGGCCAGCAAGAAGCGACAAGCAGCGCGGGCGACAGTGAGGAGTGATGCCTGACTGTCGCGCGCGCCGCTCATCGCCTCCAGCCGACCGCGCCCTCGAAGCAAATAAGGCTATAACTCACTTCAAAATTGAGCTAGAAACGTGATATTTGTTGCAAAATGAAAACAATTTTTGTTCAGTTTCAACCAAGTTGACCATCAAAAATCGAGAAAAGCATTTTTCAGCCATCTACGTTATTGTTGGTCTTGTTATAGTTATGACGTCCATTTTCGTAGTCCTGCTCATCCCATACTTCCGGAAAAAGTGGACATCCGGACACACCGATCCACGGAAATCGAAAATCGGAAAGTTCTGGAACAACATCGAGTACATTCTGATGTTATTTTCCAGCTCGCGAATTTGATTAACTTTATAATTTTGTTCGTATAACAACCCACACATTTATTTTTATTTATTTATTGATTACGACCTTCCGTCGTGGAAAAAGAGAAAAAAGAGAAAAGGAATACAATACAATCACACAAAACACAGATACACGAATAACTAAACAATTCAATTAAAGTGGAGAACCGAATAGTAACACTATTTCCAAATAATAGCACATAACCATCAACACATACACGCATACAGAATAAAAATTATACCTGCAATAATGATTAACAGAAATAATAAATTATTTTACAACTTAGAGAGAGGGGACATGAATAAACTTTGCTCTTTCATGGCGATTGCTCAGCTTATTCTTTTTTCTAGGCGACTACGAAAATTCGAGAAATGGTCCTAATAGGTCACAGGTGTGTAACAGAATGCGTCCAGAGCCAGGAAATTTGATCTACAAAAAAAACTTTTTTCTTCTTACTCTAGTCTAAAAGTTTCTGATGTTATTCTAGCAGTTGAGTTCAAATAATCACTTTCGTCACTTTTTTTGACAGAAATTTTTTCTTAGTTTTAAGTTTTTTTTTTCCAGAAAAAAATGTCTAGAATTCATATTATAATCTCCTGTTTCGCATTGTTTTTGAGCACCACTGATTCACAAAGTATGAGTGCTGAGCAAAGTGAGTTTTTTTTATTTGAAATTTGTAAATTCTGAAATTCTGAAATTCTGAAATTCTGAAATTCTGAAATTCTGAAATTCTGAAATTCTGAAATTCTGAAATTCTAAAATTCTGAAATTCTGAAATTCTGAAATTCTGAAATTCTGAAATTCTGAAGTTCTGAAATTCTAAAATTCTAAAATTCTGAAATTCTGAAATTCTGAAATTCTAAAATTCTGAAATTCTAAAATTCTGAAATTCTGAAATTCTGAAATTTTGAAATTCTGAAATTCTGAAATTCTGAAATTCTGAAATTCTGAAATTCTGAAATTCTGAAATTCTGAAATTCTGAAATTCTGAAATTCTGAAATTCTGAAATTCTGAAATTCTGAAATTCTGAAACTCTGAAATTTTGAAGTTCTGAAATTCTGACATTCTGAAATTCTGAAACTCTGAAATTCTGAAATTCTGAAGTTCTGAAGTTTTCATATTCGGAGATTCTGAATTTCTAAAGAAAGATTATTACTTTCGGGAAAGTTTGGGACCTATAGTAATTCTCTCGACTTGAATTACTGTAGTCATCCAGGGTTATTGTAGCTTTCAATTTCGGATTACTGTAGGATCTCCGAAGATTACTGTAGGATTGGATTACTGTAGGATCTCTAAAAATTACTGTAGGATCCAACTTGCGAAGCAGATTCTGAAAAATCTAAAATTCTGTAATTTTGGAATTCTGAAATTCTGAAATTATGAAAATCTGAAAATCTGAAATTCCAGTGGCCAACTACAAACGTTTCCTAGCCAACCAAGAAAAGTTATTTGACAAGCTTTTCAAAACCTACGATCCTGGACAGAACGCCGTCTACACATTATGTGAGTTTGTATGTCGGCCGGTCGGCCGCGGCCGACTGTGGCTTGAGCTGTGGGAAGTTGTTGTGGATCACACCTTCCGCATCCTACCTATCCCAGAAGTACCGTAACCGAAAAAAACCGCGGCCTTGTTACCGGCAGTCTTGGATCCCTATAAAAACCATATATTTTCAGACCACCTTCCAGAATCCAACGTGACGATTCATCCACCAAGATTCGAGATCGTTGTCCAGCTATCAATGTTAAAATTGGTGGAAGTCGTTGAGCCAGAGGAAAAAGCCACGTTTTTGTTTGATTATCAATCTGTAAGGAATACCGTACTTACTCTAATAGGATGACACCCATAGCATGCACTTTGAGCTCAATTATCTCGATTCTATCAAACGATATCAAAAATTTGTTAACTGATAAAATTTTTATTAAAATATCAGTAACATTTTATTAGTTGACATATTTTTGATATCTCTTATAGAAACCGAGATAATTGAGCTCAAAGTGCACATACAGGATTGGGTTCTATTAGAGGGGAGAAGAAGCATACGGTAATTGAAACCCCACAAAAATGTCTGAAATTTTCAGAACTGGTACGATCCTCGTCTCTCGTGGGATCCCGAAGATTACGGTGGAATCAACCATATCTACGTTCCAAGATCTCGTGTTTGGATTCCAGAAACCACGATTGTTGATTGGTATAATTTTCAGAAGCAGCTTTTCAGATTTGTTCAAATTGTTAACATTGAAAAATAGTTTCAGCTCGGAGGTCAAGGTTTTTGACAACGAATACACTAGATATGTTTGGGTAGGTCTCACTACAGTAACCTACAGTAACTCAAACGTTTAGCTTCATTCGAACGGTTCGATTGGGATGTACACGGCTTCTGTGACTTCGGTAGTTTGTCAAATGGACGTAAGTAGAGGATAACTTTTTTCTAGGCCATTTTAACATGGTGGCCTAACTTTCGCAAGTCAATTTTTTAGGCCACCATGATAAATAGCTTGAAATTGACCTGGTGTGTTTTCTAGGCGAACTTTACAAGGTGGCCTAACTTTTTGCAATTTTAGTTTCCTAGGCATCACGATAAATATTCTAAAAACGATCGGAAATTCAACTGGCTTATTTTCTAATCCATTTTGACATGGTGGCCTAACTTTTGCAATTTGTGTTTTCTAGGCCACCACGTTAAAATGGCCTAGAAAACACATCAGGTGCATGTTAGGCCATTTCTAGGAAAAAAAAAGATCGTGGTTTAGAAAACTCATGATAACTAGCCTGAAATTCACTTATCAGAATTCTTCAGAATCCCCCTTCCAATTCCAGATTTACAACTTCCCGCTGGACAAGCATACGTGTAGTGTGAACATTCTGTTCAACACTTACCTTATGACCGAATACTTGATCACTGGCCAGACCGGTACATTACCAAGACCCGTGCATATGCTGGTAACATTTTTTCAACAATTTTGAACAAAAAAAGTATGCCTCGGGAAGTTGTAGGATCAATCTGGAGCTGGTGGTCAAATAGTAGTGTCTTGAATTGTATCGGCGGCACTACCGTAATCCCATCAGTTTCAGGTCTACAATTTCCCACTGGATCGACACACGTGTAGTGTGAATTTGCTCTTCAACACCTACAGACTTGAGGAGTTTTTGATCACCGGGAAAACTGGCACCATGCCAAGACCCGTGAATCAGTTGGTAAACATGTTCCAAAGCAATTTAGATTAGTCTTTTTACGCTCCATGTTTGTGTAATTTACAGTTTTTTTCTAGCTCACTTAGTTTTCGAGACATGCATCTTTAAAGTTGGCTAGCTGGAAGTTAGTATGTTTCTAACTTTCGAGCGTTATATCTCAAAAACTAAGTCAGGAAGGAAAATTTTGTAAACTACAAATATATGTAAAATTGTATGCTTTACATTTTTGTAATTTAAAATATTTTTCCAGATTGCTTAGTTTTCGAGTTTTGCGCCTTTAAAATTGGCTAGCTGGAAGTTAGTACGTGTGTCTAACTTTCAAGCGTAATATCCCAAAAACTAAATTAGCTAGAAAAGTTTTGTAAACTACGAATATATATGTGAAATTGTATGCTTTACACTTTTAGTAACTGACCGAAACTACCGTATTCCAGGGAAATGGAGAATGGCAAATGAACTCAATCCAGATGAGCATCGAACCCGTAGTCGACAATATGACGTATCTAACCAGATTTGAGGCAACATTCCAGAGAAATCCAGGATTCTATGTTGTTCTTGTTATGATACCCGCGTATTTTATCAATTTCTTATCAATCGTCGCACTGTTCACTGACATTGACAATCGAAATGAGAAATTCACAGTGGCGATGACAAATATTATGTCGATGAGCTTCATTTTGGTGATATTGGCAGAGGATTTGCCGAAAACCAAGAATTTGCCCATTTTAGGTATTGTATTTGATCTAATAGAAGCCCACTCTAGACGTGCAGTTTGAGCTCACTCATCTCGGTTCCTATAGGAGATTCCAAAAATCTGTGAACTGATAAAATATTGAGCATTTTATGAATAATATTTTATCAATTAACAGTTTTTTGATATCTCTCATAGAAACCGAGATAATTGAGCTCAAAGTTGGCAACTTGAGGGACAACATAAATATTTTCCAAACAGCAAATGGGAACTTTTTTCAGTTTTAGTCTCTTGAAGTCACTTAATTCTAAAATTTTATTGAAACTAGGTCATGACCTAATTTTTCTAGGTTATGACATAATTTTTCTAGGTCACGACCTAATTTTTCTAGGTTATGACCTAATTTTTCTAGGTCGTGACCTAATTTTTCTAGGTCATGACCTAATTTTTCTAGGTCATGACCTAATTTTTCTAGGTCATGACCTAATTTTTCTAGGTCATGACATAATTTTTCTAGGTCACGACCTAATTTTTCTAGGTTATGACCTAATTTTTCTAGGTCGCGACCTAATTTTTCTAGGTCATGACCTAATTTTTCTAGGTCATGACCTAATTTTTCTAGGTCACGACCTAATTTTTTTAGGCCATGACCTAATTCTTTCTAGGTCATGACCTAATTTTTTCTAGGTCACGACCTGATCTTTCTAGGCCACGAACGGAATTTTCTAGGTCACGACCTAATTTTACTAGGTCACGACCTCATTTTTAATAGGTCTTGACCTAATTTTTCTAGGTCATGACCTAATTTTTCTAGGTCGCGACCTAGTTTTTTCTAGGTCATGACATAAATTTTTCTAGGTCACGACCTATTTTTTTCAAGGTCATGACCTAAATTTTCAATGCCACGGAAGTTAACGGCACAAGACGGCAATGAGCCTTTAATACCGTAAAACCTGTAACAGAAGGGCCCCCAAGCTGTCAAGTTTTAGCTCAATTATCTCAATTTCTACGCAAGCTATCAAAAATGTGCTAACTAAAAACACTTCTGATAGTATGATAAACATTTAATAAGTTGACAAATTTTTTAGGTTTTTCGCAGAAATCAAGATAATTGAGCTCAAATTTGATGGTTTGGGAACCCTTCTATTACAGGTTTTATAGTATGTTCATCGCTGCCCGATAAGAATAATGCCCTTTCTCAGTTTATCCATCTCATAATTCCAGCAATCTACACTGTTACAAGTCTAGCGATTATGCTTTTCTCGTTAGCGGCAGTTATACTTTTACCGAAACTGAAGCTATACTACGCCAATCGAAGATTGTCAAGAGGCGAGAAAATCCCGAAAAATGATGAAGTTCCGAGAACTTGGTTTGTCTGTTTGTCCGGATGTCTTTTAAAAAATTTTTCAGCTGGGAACGCATCAAGTTCTACTTCAAAGTCGAATACGTCTTCATGGCAGTGTTTCAAATTGCAAACTTCGTCAATTTTATCATTATTTTTGTTTGATAAGCACCGCAAATAAACTATTCCGATGATAAGGTTTTACCTCATTTTTTGAAACTTTTCACTGAAAATTTAGGCCGAATTATCGATTTTTATAGATTTCCCGACGTATTTTTTAATGTTTTTTTCAAGAAAAACCAATTTTTGATCAACAAAACGAAACCCCAATCATTTCCATCATGTGACCCGCTTTTATTTTTGCGAGTTGGTTTTCTCCAATTAAACAGCATGCAATCCATAGAGACGCAGACACTCGAGAGTGCAACAGGGCGCACTTGCTGCCTCGCCTCGAGGTTATCAGTTTTGTTGACTTTGCACGGTCTTTTTCGATGCTTGTTCTTTGTTTCTCGCATGTTTTTGGTAGTTTTTAGAGTGTAAAATTGTGATTAGCGAGTGAATTTTGTCTGGAAATTGTGTAAAATTGATTTACGGAACCTGAAAATTGTAAATTTCCGAAAAACCGGGAAATTCAACTTTTTTGATCGGTTTTCCTAGTTTTTAGGCTGTAAAAACTATTTTTAATATGCAAAGAACCAGAAAAGCCACAGAAGAAATCAAGAAAAATGCGATTTTCAGAAATTTTTTTTTTGAAATTTAAATAAAAATTGTTATTTTAAAGCGTTTTTTCATTCAATTTCCACCGTTTTTCCCAATTTTTTGAATCTAAAAAACCTCAAAAAAATGTCTTTCAGTAGCCATATGGACGGAGTGTACCGCCTGTTCTGTGGATGCTGCGGACTGGCCGGCGGCGATCCGGAGCCGCCGTACTCACAGCTCCGCCACGACTCGGTGACGCCGATTCGCGATCCACCTCTTCAAGTATGACCACATTTTTAGGCAAAGTGGCAAAAAACTGCTATTTTTTCGACTAAAATCCAAAAATTCGAATTTCAAATTTTGCTAAAAATGGCTCAAATTCAGTCGAAATCGATGATTTTTTCGCCCAAATTTGATAAAAAAACCGCTAAAAGATGGCAAAAATCGATTTTTCCGCCTAAAATCTCAATAAACTGCTTCCAGCAAACAAATCGACACGGCGCCAATGGACAGCATTCACAAATGCAGCAGTATCTCAATCAGCAGCAACAGCATCAGCAGTATCCGCCATACGCGCTTCAGGAGCAAGGATTCGTCAATCCGGTCCACGAATTGTACGTTTTCGCTAGAATATGACGAAAAAAGCAAGAATTCTGGGATTGTTTGCTGAAAATCCCTAAAAATTGGCTCAATTTTTTCCTCGGTGCTATCTGATTTTTGAATTTGGCGCCATTTTTACTTCAACTCACAATTTTAATTTCCTGCGGTACTCGCTGATAAAACTGAGTAGAATAAAACTGTAACATAATAAAACTGAGCATAATGAAACCATACTTAACAGGCCAGGGCCCGGCCCACAAGCCTCGCCGAGCGTGGCCCTGGCTGGGGGAGACTCTGGAAGTTTTTGACTCAGCCCGGTCCGGAC